CAAAAGAATTAACATCATCATGTATATTCATAATTTCATGCTTATCAAGTTGATTGTTAAAACTATAGTTACTAATATCATCTTAATTGCAAGCTATCGGAAAGTACTTTTTGGCTTCTAAAGCAATTTTTTCTTTCGTGAATTTTATATTATAAATTAAATTTCTATTCCCATCTGCATCCTTTGTTTGAAAAATGTCGTCTACAAAGCCAAAGCCACTTTGAACAGTCAAGAACGCTTCAAAGTTTTATATTTTAAGGCAGTGGTCGCAATCTACATAGTAAATTAGTTAAGCCTCTACAAGTTTATGTTTGAAGCACATGTTCTTTGCTTAGGTTCGCTTTGAACAGTTAACAAACATGTTGTTAGGCGGCATAAACTCTTTAATTGGGCTACACGTGAAGTCGGAACTTCTAAAATTTGTTTACATTCAATTTTTCTAGGTAACCGTCAGTCTTTGTTAACTTTTTCAGGAAGGAAGAAACAAAATTGCCCAGTTTTTGTCCCTGTTCATCCATTCCGGGATTTATCGCGTCAATCTGGGATAAGGCGACTGATTTATATCACAATAGACTTTTTATGGACAGTTGTCTATAAGGTATTGTGCAGTCTTCTTATATTGAACGTTTAAGCCTCTTCTTCGTTGATGTTCTTAGTATTTCAGTGTGTTTTCAAAACGTGAGAATTGTTTGAAATTTTTCTATGAAAAGTACCAAATCATAACAAATGTTTTAACTTGAAACACTAGTTATTTTAAACTTTAATAAAAAGAATTTATCATTCACCAAATATCACCAATACCTGAAGTCTTTTGGAAGTTTGTTCAGAAGATACGTATTGTTATCATAAATAGCATTTTTCATAAGGCTTGGTTGCGTCAAGCCCTGTACACGGCACTGTCGTCACCCCACTGCAAATTCCCGCCATTTTAATTAACGCACATACGTGAAATAGCCGAGGATGGGCACGCAATATCTCAATACGATTCTAATTACTGCACCTAGTTGTTGACTTTATTTTGTACCGTTCTATCTGTACTGTTACTTGAACTAGAAACTGGGTTTTTCATGACCTTGACTTCCATTTTTTGCTTCAGGGGGTACCTAATCGGATAGAAAATAGCAGTGCCAGTGATCTAGAAATTTTGCTTTCAAACCTAAATACCTGCATGCACAAAAATATTATCTGATTGATCAACCTGCAATAACAACAGAATGATTTTTTATGCTTCTCCGTTCGATGATTTTCATTAGAGTTTATTTAAGGCCTATTTCAAAGGCATTCAAAGATGTTTGATAAAGCTGGCATTTATTAAATAAATCGCCGGTTTGTTACAAAAATTCTTACACAAAGGCACGAAGCCAATCAATATGAGATTTGCCTTGCTGATTACGCCTGAACATACTTGTTATGTGCCGGCTGTATTGAAGAGCCGAACGCTCCAATGCTCTGCTTATTATTTATTGATTACCGCAATAAAAATCTCCTGTTTTATTTTAATGTCATCACAGTCATCGTTCGTATAAAATCCTTTGATTTTCTTTTTCGTTGTAGACAATAAGCCTACCTGCTTTACTTTTACTTTCGGGCTCAATATCCTCAAGTACATAATGTTCGTTCTATGCAATGATCACCATCTTTTATTCATTTTTATCATAAATATGCCTTTGTAACACCTTTTATTCTCGTAATGCAATACCCGTTTCGCTTCCCTGCGCCTGCCATGGTTTTTGAACACCCCAGCACCATGTATATTGAAGTTGTTCGTAGGTATATGATGTCAATGAACTGCAAGCACAGTCGCACTGGACTCCCTCGTAAATTCAGACTGGTTCCCATGCTTCGTTACAATAAACACATCACACCTTAATTGTATACTTACTGCTATTATTTAAGATTGTGGGAAGCTGTGAACCAGAACGAGATTCAATTCAACGTTCGTTTTTAAAGACTTAACTATTGACTTCCATCTTTCTGCCTCTCTGAACTAACTAAAGCTAACGTCCAAGATATTTGCTATACATGTAAGAAAACAAAGGTTGATTCATTACAAAAACAAAACCATTGGTTATTATGTTTTCGGCTTACTCACGTTGTAATGAGACGAGGAACTCGACTAGTTTCAAGCCATGCTAGAGGCTCATATTCATGAGCAGCATAATAATTTATTTAGTATGTCTCAAGAAAGTTACAATACAAACAAAACCATTGGTTGTTATTACCAAAGATTTGGCTTCGTTAATAATGAAACGCACGGATAGTAGTTGGAAACAGACAAAATTATATTTTTTAATTTACAGAGTAACAGGCACAGTACACATACTTTTACCTAAATGGCGTTACTTGTTGAACTTTAACTTTATTTATTTAGTTATAATCTATGGACACATTACAACAATGGTTAACAATTAGTAGATACTGTTTTCGTTCTGAATTATTCTTTACTTTCTCCAGATACCAAATGACTTGGCTAACAACTAACAATACACTTCAGTACTTTAAGTTATATAACCATAAATAAGCAGGTAATTTATAACCGACTTGGCATACACAATGCGGACTGTTCAGACGTGTCGTATTAAATATCAAAATTCACAATTCACAGCGAGCGACCTCCAGTTACATTTGGCTCTCGTTTTAAATAACCTCACGTAGATATTTTACGTTTATCTTTTACAATCCCTAACCTAATTATTATGGTTACTGCCGTGTTGCGTTTGAATGAAAGTTCTTTTCGTTCAAATTATTCCACGCCTTGTATTTTGGTAGCTAGACATGTTTAACAAAGGATAATTCCTAGAAACTAATTTTAAAATGTATATGTAATTAGTATCGTAATGTACAAAGAGTTTTTATGCGGGTAAGAACAAAGGTTATGCTGGTTGTGATTATGAAGTAGGAAGTTATATCTATACTAAAATTGTACACAGGAAAATATTTTATTTTTTGTTTATTTGCATTGAATAGGCTCCGAAATTAATGGGTCGATATGTAAAATTCTTTTACCATAGCAAGTTGTACCGTTCGGAGTGTAACATAGGATAATTTTTATATCGATATATTTGCAGGAATCGGATCTTGTTGAGAGAAATCTAAAGCTAGTACGTAGGTAAAATATTTACTTCTTTTCCATAATCAGTAGTCAAAGGTTATTTGTCATCATAATCATAGAAACGTATATATTAGTAAAGTAATGGTGATAATCAAGAATAATTTTATTAAGTAACAATGCTCAAGTTATGACGTCATAGTCACGTATTATTAATTTTTAAAATGAAGTGAAAAAATAAAGTAAAAATATTGGCTTTCTTTTAAGAAAGTTTGAAGTAGTTGAGGCTGTTTTCTGTGTTAAGACTTATATTGCACAATAAAAGATTATCCTTTAAACTCGTCAGCACGACAAAACTGAATTAACACCCACAATTTAATCATAAACACCTAAGCTAAGTAACTATTTGGTTTCCAAAACAAACTTAAGTAAAGTCAAACATTTTATTTTATCTATCTACTTTAAATACAAGTGGAGATTTTATCTAATAAAAACCCGAACATCAAACATTGACTTTACGATGCGGACAAAATATCGAATGACGTATGTGTAACCTCCCCTTTATTGTGACGTCCAGTAAGTAATCTAGGTGATAATGTTAAGTGGTTTCAATAAAAAACTAATAAAACGGTTCGTATATAGACCTAGTGAAATTAACTGATAAAGTTCTGTATTAGATTACGATGGAACTTGCGTAAAGGTTTTTCAGTAGAGTGATTTATGAACCAAGAACGGCAGCTTCAAGCTGTTGACTGTCTGCAAGAGCGGTGCGTGTAGGTATGTTTATCACTAATAGCAATTGCTCGAGCAGTCCGGCATGGCAGACCATACTGTAACACTTGTGTATGTGTTTTAAGTTAATGAACTTGTCCTAAATAACTGAACCTATTTTACTGTAAAAACTGAAGGTAAATTATTACCTCTTGTTTCTCTAGTTCCTTCTTAATAAGAAGGCGTACTTGATAGATTTTGTATAAAGACCAAAGTGAAAAAGTAAAATACCAAATTGTAAGGAATTAATAGGACCTTTTATGATCGCTGAATATAAGGTCCTGATTTGATTTGTCGGCAGGGACCGGACAACCCCACTTTAGAGTTAAGCCTTTGGACTGGGTAACCCGTACATGAGGTAACTCATATCGCAGTGTTACCTTTTGTTCGAGATACATCCCTAAAACCCAATGAAAGGGTTAACCTCTTCAAAGGCTTATGTCATTGAAGGGGTTAACCCCTTCAAACCTCTTCAAAGGCTTAATATCATAGAAGGGGTAACCCCTTCAATAACTTAAGCCTTTGAAGAGGTTACCTTCGCGAAAAGCTTTTTTCGTGTTACCCTGAGTTACCCAATAAACTTGAGCAGCTCAAGTAGGCGGGGGGAACCTTGCACCCTTGTGGCGCACGCCTTATCGCCTTACCTACTTTTTTTTAGTTATTACGATTAACGAATTTCACAACAAGTGGCGCGTGGACTGACTAATAATTAATATG